TCAAACAAACCAATCACGTCTCAGACAAACTCCTCCCACAAAAGTCAAACAAACCAATCACGTCTCAGACAAACTCCTCCCACAAAAGTCAAACAGACAAATCACGTCTCAGACAAACTCCTCCCACAAAAGTCAAACAGAACAATCACGTTTTGGACAAACTCCTTCCACACGTAAAGAAACTCCCACTTAGTGACTGCAGAGACCCCCTTCTCAAAAATTTGTTGCAAGCTGTGTTTTTAATACTGGCCTAAATTATTGTTTCTTACTGACTTTTTTTCAGTTAAATCCTTTTTAAGTAATATTTAAAATGTGATACTGGATGTATTGATCTAATTTAATATTGGTTTATAAATGTGAGCTTCTTTTCTACCAGTAAGCAGGTTCTGAACATTAATTATAAGTCCCAGACAATACTTGGATTAGAATGCAGAATTATAATTAGCATTCCCTGGGATCATGAATATGCTCATACATCTCTGTATTCAAACAATACTGTGGGGTGAAGAAAGTTTTTTTCAGCCATCAAATCCTTTTTCAATCGAAAGTATTCTTCCAGCTATGCTTTGTTTTTCTCTGCTGTGTGCGTTCATTCAAATCCTATTTGCCTAGAAGCTTGCTGGCAAGTATCAAAGTTGTCAACTGAAATGTACATGGAAGCATTTCCTCTTAATCTTTTCAGCGGCAGAGTGAGCCAACACACAAAGCAGCACAGGGTTTAGGTTGTGGAATACATGCAGCTGAGTTTCGATAGAAACTTGTGATTGTTTGTGGACGTTTGAAAGAGTTTTAGATTTTTTTTTCTTATTTAAAAAAATAGGAAGCAATGGTTTCGCTGCAACTTTTTAAAGATCACGAACATTGTTTTGACAGAAGTAAACTTCAGACCTGCAGTTCAGACAAGAACAAAAATATATTTTTTTTGTTTCATGATTTCCTAAAGGGCTGAAGCAGCACACAATTGAGTGTTTTTTTTTCAGTGGATTGTCTATTATTAGCTGAGGATCAGCACTATGGGTTTGGAGTAAGTGCCAGCCAGAGAGCATCTGTCACTCTGACCCTGCCTCAGTTCGCCCCGTCTGACTCAACACCTTGGGCTGGGTTTGGCTCTGATGAATGGCTCAGATTGCAGCCAGATCTTTATTCTCTTTCCCTTCTGCCTCTGAGTGTGTATCCTCGCTGTTACTCCATGACTGAATGCTTTTTTTWAAATTTCTTAAATAGGGCTATTTTTCAAAATACATTTTTTCCCATTTGACCAGTCTTTACTTCCATTCACAGCTGTCTTGCTAATTATTTTCTTTTCTTTGTTGAATACCCAGTTGATTTTTAGACTTTTCTGTTTTTCTGTATTTGTTGTTTATC